CCAGCAAAATCTTGATTTCAACACTTAAGCAATTTTTCTAAGTCTAGGTTCATCGATCAATCGTAGTGTGCTCACTTTGGGGATGTTTTTCCTCGGTTTTGATTCTTGAATTAGCACGAGATCATTGAACGACATTTGTAGCTGGTACTTAGGTCTCACGAAATTTATTCAGGAGGTTTGTACTAAGGAGCCACGGATTTGCAGATAAATCAACAAGAAAACGCCGTCAAAGCGTCCCTGCTCAAGTCTGAATAAACTGAATCGCAACGTTCAATGGCCGACCGCCGTCGAACCTTTGGCCAGCCGCGTGCGCGGAAACGCCACGCGCGCCGCGGCCAGTCCGATCAAGAGTTACACGACGCGCCCGAGCGCGCGCCTTCATCACGCCAGCGCCACCGCCAAGACTCACCGAAAGCACCCATTTGCTTCGCCTCGGTCCCCTTCGCCGCCTCGCAGCGCCAAAGAAGATTTTCCACAGCTCATTGCGCCATAGTCACAAAGACACCTCGCGCCTAGCCACTCTGAACCACCGCCATAGCTCCACCATCTCCCAAAGACCCAGTAGCTTCTTCCCGTGCCCGCCATTCGCGTTCGGTAAGCGCCGCCGCGTGCAAAAGGCTCACCGAGCTTCACCGCCGTGGTCCGCCGTCGTAGGCCACGCCGTTGTAGTCTACCATTCCACGCGATAGGCGATGCGCCAGGTTCATTGTAGTCCATCGGTGCTCGTCCGAGCTCTAGGTCGAGCCATCGAGCCCCCACCGGCGCATCCGTCGACGTCCCGCCGCCGAAACGCCGCCATGGTCGCCGCCGCCGCCGCCGTCATTGGTGTCGACGATATAGGGCCGACCAAGTATACCAATCGACGCTAGCTAGGTCAAGTAGAAGGTCTAGTGATGATGTCACCGCCCAACGAACTCGCCATTGCCGAAGTTTTGGCAGCGTCCGTCGAGCAAATGGCCATTGCGGTTTCTGTTTTTGTCTCACCACCAAATGGGTCCAGCGTGTCGGCGACTCAAAGATTTCAAATCCATTCGGTTTTGAATGCAGATTCACATGTGTTTTGTTATTTTTGTATCTTTAGTTTGGTAGCTCCTAAAAATTGTGAAATAAATATGATTGTGTTGCTTAGGAAGTATAGTATTTAATAAAAATATGTTCTTGGTTTCAACAGTAGAAATTTCTGGAGATTTAAATCAGATTTGAAATGTGCTTTTGAATGTATTTAAATTTGTTTATTTTATATCTAGAGTTCCTGTGCTCCAAAAATTATGAAATTTTTGTGGTAGGCTATTCTTGTCATATATGAACTCTAGTAAAAATTTGAGGACCAGTGCATGTGTATAATTATAGTTATAGATTTTTCCTTTATGGCTAGTCCATCCTTGCATGATTTTTTATAAATTAATTATGAGTCCAAAATTCATGAAATTTGTTGGAGATAATCCTAGTACCTTATGGATGTTAAGAAAAATAAGAAATCTGTTGCTTGACACTTTTCAATAGGATTTTCCATTTATGCTATTTCAAGCCTTGCTTCCTTATCATTTTTGTATAGAATGTTCTACTTAGTAAAATGACATGAAATTTTTATAGTAGTCCTTTGATAGCATTAGTAAGACTCTGTAAATTTTTGAGAATTTATTAAGCACATCTGATATATATTTATTATTTAACCTAGATATCTAAATAAAATAATAAAGGCAATTTAATAAATAGTTTGGGCTTCACCGTTATATTATCTAAAATGTCTTTGGTATGCCTATACTGTTGGTAGATTTTAAGTTGTCAAATTTGGAATGATTACATGAAGTAGAGGTGTTATTACTTTATATTGCATGTTAAATAGTTTCCTGACTAATTCTAGAGTGTGATGAGTTGCATGTTGAAACTGATGTGTACTGTAAAATGGTTAATAACAAAGTGGTAGAGAATTTGATAAGCTTTCCGAAAGTCCTGGATCACTGTTTTTGGATTTGTAGAACTCCAGCTTATGAGTGAAACAAGTAGCTACTGTTTGTGGCATAGTCGATGCATTGTAGAAGTAGTTAAGTAATAGTCGAGAAGAGATATGCACCTACTCAAACAACGTGATGCACTTGTTAACATATATGCATTCGTAATACTTATACCATACTCATGCATCTAGGATCGGAGGAAGAGATCACGTTGTTGGAATTCGAAGAAGCAGAGGAAGGGAACCCGCAGGAGGATCCGCAAGCCACAGCTCCCGAAGGCGTGGAGCAGAACCCTGAAGAGCTTCCGAGTGCCCCGATCATCGCCTCTACTTCCTTTCTGCATGAGGCAAGCCCCGAGCATTATAAGTCTCCCATAATTTACAAATGTTTACTTACGTATTTATGATTGATGCATTAGGTTATAAGAGTTGAATGAAACCACTTGATGCATGTACATTCCTTGTCCAAATATTACACCAGAACCGTATAGGTCCGGATCGAATATATATGCTTAGCCATGCTTAGACCGGTAGAAGTCGGGTGATGTCCTGTCACCAATGAGATATAGGTGGATACCGAGCACGGTTGGCTATATCTCGCTATCGTGGAACGTAACCATGTGGTAAAAAGTAAATCGAGACCGAGACGGGAAGTAGATAGAGAAGCAACAAGACATGGAGGTCTTGGGTGTGGATTTATCCCCGTCTATGTCGATTAAGGACCGTCTCGTTGTTGGTGCTTCGACAAGATTGAACGCATGCCTCTCACTTAGTTGGCCGGATAACTCGTTCCGACCATGAAGCCGAGTAATTCAACTCGGTGCCGAATCGCTTGTTGTGCGCTCCTTCCGGGAACGATCGATCGAGCCCAAAGGGCGAGCTTGGCTTGAGAGCATCCCGGCATCTGGTGTTCCAGATTAAAGCGGCTGCGATGCGGACCCGCGAAATGTGTACCGAGTTGTATCAAAGGTGACCTAAGGCTATCGTGGTTTGGTAGACTGGGTTTGTGTTAGAAATAAATTCCCGGTGGTTGAAATCGATTCGAATCGCCGCTCTCCGGATAGTGAGAAACTTGGCTAGTCCCAACATCGTAGTAATCGTGTTATGGAACATGATGGTTCTGGACGAAAATGAATTACAATACCTGCTATGGTTACTATTGTATGCTTCTAAAGGATGTACCACATGTTTGGCACAGGATAGTTGCTAACCTAGAAATGAACAATTATAATTAACTTGGTAAAGAATTAGTAAGCGTACCATGATTTAATTGCTTTTACGCAAAAAAATGTTGTCAAGTTACGTCCACTTATACAAATTTCCTTGCATAATCCTTGGAGTCATTTTATTTTCTCGTTCATGACGGGGTAAGTCTAGTGAGTACCTTCTCGCATACTCGTGGTTTATTTTCCCAATGTTGCGAGATGGCACTTGTGTATCATGGTTATTGCAAGAGTTGCCTCTATCCCGCCGTGGATGAGGAGTAAGCCTTGGGCGAGCTTCTTTAGTAATTCCTATCCTTGCTTTTGTGGACCGTGATCTAGCTTGGCAATCGTATCAAACTATGTTGGAAACTTTATCTTGAACTTATTTGCTTCCGCTTTATTTATCAAACTCGGTTTGTAATAACTTTTATTCGTACTCTGATGATGAAAAGTATCAGTGAACTTTATGTAATATGTGGCATGTATGTTGAATCCTGTACGATCTTGGTTGTTGTAAATCGTTTATCGAGACCCGTCGTGGTACTCGACGGACTACCGGGTTTATATGGGTTCAAGTATGACAGTGCGACCGCTTGCGGATTGCCATTGTACTTGTATTCTTATAAATTGGTCGGTTCTGCGACATAACTCGTGTTAAAATCATCCCGGTTTGAACAAACTATATCAAGCACTGGACAAAGCCCATATACATCACGCATATACAAGGCACTAAGTTGATTTCATTCCGAGCCTTGCCAAGTAAAAAGTGATTGAAAGAATTTCTAGCATTAAAAGTAACCTTCAAAACAGAAACAGACTGAAAGTTTAGCCAGGTATAGAATCCCAAACACATGAGGATACATACTTCTTATAAACGCTCTTGAAACAATCCGTAGAAAATTTAGTGACTGCAAGATGCAGGATAGTGCCTAGTATTGTTTTCTTTATTTAGAAAATGGAAAAATTCCAGCCTCTGCGACCGCACACAGCCAAGTGCCTGGTAGCTGTAAATAACAAACATCAAAATGCGTCTCGTCACGCCACTTTGAAATAATGCATTACTGCTGACCTGCAAAATCAACAGCAATTGTTTTCAGAATGCTTGTGATGGACAGATTTTAACTAGAATGTTTCCTATCAAGAGAGCAGATTTACTGGTCCAGTAATAGAACATATGTCTTCAGTGATCATTAATCAAATTGCTGTCATATATATCAATGTACAGCAAACATCAGAGCTGTACATTATGCTCACACAATTAATTGAAAAAAGCATGCATCTATTACATGGCAGGCACATGCAGGCCAAGTTGTTTAGATTTTTTATACATAATTTCAATCCAAATATTTGAATAGTTCCTTCAAAAGTCCAAGTCTATGCACCTTTCACATAGAACCAGTTCACTTACAATTTTCATCCTGAGATCTAAATAAAAAACAAAATGCAAATAAACAATCATGGGTGCACCATATATTATATATTCAAACATTGTAGAAAGTTACTTCATAAAGCTTATCAAAACACCATCTATAGCCATATAGACAGATCACATGAAAGAGTTGAGCTATTTGCATATCTGATGTATCAATTTAGCGCACGGTTTTGCATAATGTATGATTAACACAATGAATCTGTCATTCTGGAAATAAGCTCAGAAAGCTCGAAACTAATAGGACCAAATTAAGTTGCATGGATTGGCCAGGAAATTTCTAATCAGAACTGCATTTAAAAAAAAAATTCATCAACATTATGTTAACCGGGATCTATATGATGAAGTGAAGAATAGAAGAACAAGGCAAACATACGTAGAGAACTAATTTGTATCAAGTCATATACCATACCTAGTTGGACACGTTGTCCACACCATCTTGAATCAAAGCAAAACTCCCATAGTTTCCTACTAAAGAAGGAGGCCATGCCATGATGTAGGGATGGAAATGACGGGCACGAAAACTCCTCGGAAACAGCTTCTCCAGCTTCATTGTTTCTAAGCACAGCGCCAGAACCATCTCTGATGTGACCAAGTAGACAAACCCATCCACAATAGAAATGGCTTGCAGTGTATCAATGTCTTCTGGTGGGTTTGCGTCTGCCTCATAGTCCACGCTACGCATAACACACCTCACCACACCATCATCATCAGCTATGTTCATGGACACAAAAATGCTCCCCCCGATGCAGAGAACAACGCAAAGGGCACCGTCCTTAGTTTCGCCAACAACCAAGCGGCAACCCTGCAGACCCTTCAGGTATGGTGGGAGCTCAGAAACAGAGAACTCCATTGTTGCTGTGTCCAGCTTCAGCACGTGCTCCAGGTTCGTGAAAGCCCAGTACAGCGTGTCATTTGATCGCACCCCAAACTGAAGCCCATGTGTGTCGGCATCATTCGACAGCGCCCTCTCCTCGATTTCCACCCAAGGGTGAAAGAACCAATCCCCGGTGTCTGACGAGAAGACCACAGCTTGAACCTTGGATTTGCAATAAAGAAGCCAAACAAGTTGGAACGACATGGGGTCTTCATCCGAGGAAAGCAAATGGCAGTCGACCGCGACAGGTACATCTGTTCTTTCTTTATCGAACGAGAACGAGACAGGCATATCAATGTACTCTGTGCTGTATCGGGCCAGTGGGTTGACGGCGGCGAGTAATCCGGCATCCCAGTTCGCGAGGAGGAGGTAGCCGTCGTGGCAGTCTTGAATGTGCCAGTGGAGGGGCACGTCAGCCGCGTAGCCTTGGGGATCCAGGAGCGCAGTGAGGGCGAAGTCGCCGCCGCCAATGGCCGCGAGCACGTCGCGGTCCCTGTGCTGGGCGGGCGCGAAGGCCGGGAGGGCGTCGCGCTGGGGCTCCGCGACGAGACCGAGGAGGGGCGCCCGGTGGAGCTCGCGAAAGCGGCGGCGAAAAGCAGGGGAGGAGGCCACCGCGCGGCGCCACGAGCGGCAGGTGAGGGCGGCGCGGACGAGCGTCGCTAGGGAGGGTAGGTGGAGAAAGATCTCAAGCAGGATGTCCTCGCCGAGGGAGTCGATGGTGGTGGGGCCCAATGGCCTCGGCGATTTCGCCGCCGGCAGCTCGGTTGGGTCACTGCCGCGGGACATCGTGGCGAAACCGGCGGCGCCGCGGTGGTGAACCCTACCCAAATCCCATCTCTATACAATACCCAATTGCCCAAATACGCCTTGAACGAAAATTTGCCACAAGGCCCAATCACGAAAAAAAAAGCACAAGGCCCATCTCTGTACAATATAACCGTAGTGAGTGTGGTGTGGACGCCTGAACGAAAATTTGCCACAGAAATTTGCCTTGTGGTAACCGTTCCGCATCTCCTCCGCCGCAATGGAGCGCGAGGGGTCTCCAACCCAGCCGCCGCCGGCGAAGCGCCCATGGGATTCAAACCCCACAAGCACCACCACCATCCACTCCCTCACGGACGACCTCCTGCTCCGGATCTTCCTCTGCCTCCCCTCCCTCGCGACGCTCGTCCGCGCCGCGCTCGCCTGCCGGGCGTGGTGCCGCGCGGTGGTCTCCTCGCCGGACTTCCGCCGCCGCTTCCGGGAGCTCCACCCGGCACCCCTCCTCGGCCTCTTCTTCGAGCCCCCCAGCCCCGTCCATGACTCGGCCCTCCCGGCCTTCCCCTCATTCGTCCCAGTGCGGAGGCGCGAAAGGGACCTGTCCGTCGCCCTCCGCGGCGGCGACTTCTTCCTGACATGCCTCCAGCAGCACCCCTGCATGGCCCACTCCTGGGACATCCTCGACTGCCGCGGCGGTTACGTCCTCCTCTGTAATGTTGACCAGTCAAGTGCGCAAGCAATGGCGGTGGTGAATCCCCTGGCGCGACAGTGCCGGTTATTCGACTATCTCCATGTGGACACCTTCGAAGGTTGCCATGGCACTGCCGCGGAGCTCAACGCCTGCTTGCTCTGCTCCGAGGAGGAGCCCGCATCGTTCCGGGTGGTGCATCTTGCCCACGACGAGTCCAGGGTGCGGGCTACTGTCTTCTCCTCGGACACCTGTGAGTGGAAAGTTCACCCCTGGGTTGATGTCCCAGGGAGACCTTCGCTATCAAAATCGTGGCTTCTGAACAGTAGCATGCAATCAAATGGGTTCTTGTACTGGGTTTACAAGAATTACAAGTATATGGTCATGCTGAACACGGTGACAATGGAGTTCTCTGCCGAGGAGCTCCCTCGGTTCCTGAAGAATCGGCGCTGCAGCTTCAGCGTCGGGGAAACAAACAACGGTGTGCGCTGTATTGCCTATGCTACTGACTTCACCGTTGGTGTGATGCTGCGAAGAACAGATGACGATGGCACTGAGAAGTGGATGCTGGACAGGGCCACCCCATTAGATGCACAGCTTGATGGGGTTCTCAGGAAACAGAAGCACAACTATGATGAGCTCCTGGTTGTGGCAGTCAGGGATGGCTTTGTGTACTTGGCAACTTCAAACAAGATCATTGATTCCGCGAGCCCAAGTTGGTTCTTGTCGCTCTGCCTGGAAACGATGAAACTGGAGAATTTGTTTCAGAGGACATACAACAGTGGTGCGCACCCCTATGTTATGGCATGGCCTCCTTGTTTAGTTGCTAACAATGGGAGGTATAAATCAGCATGCCCAGGGGGCCAGGGGCCATGGAACCTTGTTCTTTGAAGCTACATCATGCTGAAGGATCCAATCAAGTTTTAGTCTCGAGTCTATCCTGTAACTCTGTCTTTTAACCTGGTCGTTTATTATTTATTTACATCTAGTTACCACCTTTCAATGTTGGTGTAAAAACTTCTGAACTTGATTCTATTTCTTATGTTCACTGCTGAGTCGTCTTTAGTTGTTCTGTTATTGTGACTCTTTTGTGGGCTCCCTGTAATATCTTTTCTCCCAAGAGAACGGGATTAGTTTCCTTCTGTTCAAAAATAAATTACAAACCAAGGATTCTGTGTGTTGACACTGTCAGAATGTTAGGTATGTGAAAAATCCTGATATACTGGTTACATCACTTCTACATGATTACATGAATTTGCATGTGTACTAATTTCCGCGATGAGCCACACTATTAAGTTATGGGAGAGAGTCATCGAGCAGCGCCTGCGAGGAACGACGCAGATATCAACAAACAAATTTGGTTTTATGCCCGGAAGGTCAACCACAGAAGCAATCTTCTTAATAAGATAGGTTATGGAGCGGCTTAGAGAGCAAAAGAATGACCTTCACTTGGTTTTTATTGACTTGAAGAAGGCTTATGACAAGATACCAAGAAATGTTATGTGGTTGTCTTTGGGCAAACATAAAATCCCATCAAAGTACGTGACCCTCATCAAGGACATGTACAACAATGTTGTGACAAACGCGTTCGAACAAACGATGGTAACACAGATTACTTCCCGATTAAAATTAGACTTCATCAAGGGTCAACCTTAAACCCATATCTTTTTGCCTTGGTAATGGATGAGGTTACCAGGAAAATACAAGGGGATATCCCTTGGTGTATGTTGTTCGCTGATGATGTAGTTTTAGTGGACGAAAGCCAGGCAGGAGTAAATAGAAAACTAGAGTTATGGCGGCAGACCCTTGAGTCTAAAGGTTTTAGATTGAGCAGAACTAAAACTGAATACATGAGATGCGACTTTGGCGGAGTTGTACAGGAGGAGGGAGACGTGAGTTTGGAAGGTCAAGTAGTGCCTAAGAAGGATACTTTTCGATATCTGGGATCGATGCTATAGAGGGATGGAGATATTGATGCGAACATTAGCCATAGAATCAAAGCAGGGTGGATCAAGTGGTGACAAGCTTCTGGCATTCTCTGTGACAAGAGGGTAACACAAAAGCTAAAAGGCGAGTTCTATAGAACGGCGATTAGACCGGCTATGTTGTATGGAGCAGAATGTTGACCTACAAAGATTAGACATGTAACACCTCGGGTGTTAGCCTTGCATAACTTGACTTGCATAACATGAGCATGATCATCAAGCATTCATAAACAAGCATTTACAATTAAAACATTTGATTGAAACATCTGTAACATTTGCTTGTTATCGCATGTTTCTTTGAACATATGCAACTTTTCTCATTATTTCATGTTTCCATGTGTTATTGCATATGATCATGAGTGTATACATGTGATTGATTGATATGAGTCACAAAAACATGTTAGCAACACTTAGGTTAGCAAATGGAACATGGTTCATGAATGTCACTTCCCATGATCAAGCCCTTAAGTCATGTTCATATGATTACATTAAATAGCTCTATGAGTGACTAATACATGAAATGATTAAATGACCTTGAAAATTGCTTAAACATGTTTAGAGTATCATTATGAACAACTTTGATATTCATGGTTAGGGGTAATTAGGTCATTAAGCCATGCTTTGAAGTGTATCATCATTTAAATGTGACATGTTTGACCAAATTTGAACTAGGTGTTAGAGACCTTGCATGGAGGAGATCACTAAAGAAAAGTTGTAGTATTTGATATAAGGAACAACTTTTATTTTTGGGTCATTAACTGATTCAGCTCCTAACATGTGTGAAATTGGATCACAAAAATCAGTAAAATCAACATTTCAAGATTTAACAAAATTTTCCTAAGTCATATCGACTGACAGACCGACAGGCCGACATTGGAGGTGATTTTACTCAGTCTCGGTTGCGAATTAGAGCATGACCTTTGAACAAGAATTGTAGCTGGTACATAGGTTTACCATTTCGGTTTAGAGTGTTTGCACGTTGGAGCCACGGATTAGCAAATGCATCATCATGAAAACTCGTTGTTAGGCTCGTATCGGGCTTAACTGATTGAATCCATCGTCATGTCTTCGGTGGCCGACCGGCAGAGAGTCCAGCGCGAGGCCGCGACACACGACGCGTTCGTCGAGCCCGCATTACCACCCTAGCGCAGCACCACCCCCACTCCTCAACAGCGCGCCCTCGGTTTAGCATTCCAGCTCCTCCTTCACCATCCACTCGCCTCAGAAAGCAATTGTAGCCTCGGCACCTAGCAACGCCCGCGTCGTCGTCGTTGACGGCACAAGCCGCGCTTAGCCGCTTCTCCATCACCGCAACAAAGATCACCGCCTTCCCAGCGACTCCTCGCGCCAACCAATGCCTCGTTGTTCAAGCCCGGTAAGCCTCCGCGCGCCGTGCAAGTGCTCACGAGCTCGCCGCTACCTCCGCCACCGTGGTCCCACCTAACTGCAGACCACCCTGAGCCACGCTAGAGCGCTAGCTAGGTTCGGTCAGTAGCTCTATGATGCTCGGCGTAGCGTTTGATCGAGTCGCCGTAGCTTCCACCGGCGCCTCACCGTCATCCCGCACCTCCGCCCGCCATGGCCATGCCGCCGCCGCTGCTAGCACCACCGAGAGAGGTCCCACCAATAGTGCAATGTGCGCGAGGTCGAGTAGATCACCGATGTGAAGATGTCACCGTCGGCGGTTCAGTTCACCGTCGGCACGAGCTGGCCGCGCCATGAGAGTAGCGCCGCCTGCTCTGTTCTTGTCTCGATGACATGTGGGGTCCTCTGACCGACGGGTCCCACCGGTCAGCGACAGCAGGAGATAGGATAGGTCATTTGATTCCAGATTTTGAATTGTTTTGTGATTTTTATATCTCCAGTTTGGTAGCTTCAAAAATTGTGCAATAAATTGTGTAGTGTTCCTTAGGAAGTGTAGTATTTAGGAAAAATATATTCTTGGCACTTACAGTAGAATTTTTGGAAGATTTAAATAGAGATTTGAAATATGTTTTTGAATGCATGCAAATTTGTTTATTTTATATCTAGAGTTCCTGTGCTCCAAAAATTATGAAATTTTTGTGGTAAGCTATTCTTGTCATGTATGAGCTCTGGTAAAAAATTTGAGGATCAGTGCATGGGTAGATTTATAGTTATAGATTTTTCTTTTATAAATAGTTAATCTTTGTATGAATTTTTATAAATTATTTATGAATCCAAAATTCATAAAATTTGTTGGGGGTAATCCTAGTACCATAAGGATGCTTAGAAAAATAGAAAATCTATTGCTTGACACTTTTCACTAAGGTTTTCTATTTATGCTACTTTAAGCCTTTCTACCTTGTCATTTTTGTATAGAATGTTTTACTATATAAAATGGCATGAAACTTTTACAGTAGTCTTTTAGTAACCTTAGTAAAGCACTGTAAATTTTTGAGAATTTATGAAGTACATCTGGTATATGTTTATTATTTAACCTAAATATCTAAATAAAATAATAAAGGCATTTAAATAAATAGTTTGGGCTTCACCATTATATTTTCTTGGATGTATTTGGTATGCTTAAACTGTTGCTAGACTTTGTGTTGTCAAACTTTGAATGATTAGATGAAGTAGAGGTATTGTTACTTTGTAATGCGAATTGGATGGATTCCAGACAGATTCTGGAGTTTGATGAGTTGCATGATAAAAATGATGTTTGCTGTAAAAATAGTTAATAACAAAGTTGTAGATAACTTCATCATATATCTTGTATTAAAATTTCAGGACCATATGTCAAACGGTTTAGAAGTTACAGCTGTTTAAAGTTAGCCTTTTCGAATTTGCTTGTTCTCTGGAATTTCTGGACAGTGCTGGATTGATTGTCTGTTTTGGTTAAGATAAATTGCGAATTAGCTTTTGGTGATTAAATAAGAGTTGTAGATAATTTTATAAGCTTTTTCCAGAAAGTCTAATATCACAGCATTTGGATAAGTAGAACTTTAGTTATAAGTAAAACAAACAGCTGCTGTTTTGTGTGTAGTGAATGAATTGTAAATGTGTTTGATTAAGTAGTCAAGAAGAGATATGCACCTACTCGGTAAAATATGATGCATTTGTTAACACCATGCTGTTAAGAATACTTATACGAATGCATTCATCATGTGTCATCATTTTATACTTGTACGCATGTATGCATTCGCAATATCTTATGCCATATTCATGCATCTAGGATCGAAGGAAGAAATAACGTTGCTGGAATTCGACGAAGTAGAGGAAGAGGACCAGCAGGAGAATCCTCAAGTCACAGCTCCCGAAGGCGAGGAGCAGAATCCTGAAGAGCTTCCGGAGTGTCCTAATCACCGCCCCACTTCCTTTCTGCGAGGCAAGCCCCGGAGCATTCTAAGTCTCCCAGTATTTTACAAATGATTACTTAAGTACTTATGATTGATGCATTAGGTTATAAGAGTTGAATGGAACCACTTGATGCATATAAATTCCTTGTCCAGCTATTACACCTTTAACCGGTATAGGTCCAGGATCGAATATATGCTTAGCCATGCTTAGACCGGTAGAAATCGGGTGATTTCCTGTCACCTGCGAGATATAGGTGGATACCGGAGCACGGTTGGCTATATTTGCTATCATGGGAAAAGAACCATGGGTAATGTAAATGGAGACCGGGCGGAATGTCGATAGAGAAGCAACAAGACATGGACGTCTTGGGTGTGGATCTAAAAAAGCAACAAGACATGGAGGTCTTGGGTGTGGATCTATCCCCGTCTGTGTCGATTAAGGACCGTACCGTTGTTGGTGCTTCTGATAAGATTGAACGCATGCCTATCACTTAGCTGGCCAGATAACTCGTTCCGACCGCGAAGCCGAGTAATTCAACTAAGGCCGGGACCCGTTTTGTTGTGCGTTCCTTGCGGGGGGCGATCAGACTGAGTCCAAGGGCAGGCTAGGCCTGAACGTCCTGGCATCTGGTGTCCCAGATTGTGCGGCGCAGTACGGACCCACGAAATGTAGACCTGAGTTGTACCAAAGATGACATAAGGCTGCCTTCGCGCGGTATGCCTGGGTTTGTGTTAGGAATAAATTCCCAGCTGGTTGAAATCGATTCGAATCGCCGTCTCTCCCAGATAGTGAGAAACTTGGCTAGTCCCAACATCGTAGTAACTGTGTTATGGAACATGATGGTTCGAATGAATATGGAATTACAATACCTGCTATGGTTACTATTGTATGCTTTTAAATGGATATACCACATGTTTGGCACAGGATAGTTGCTAATCTAGAGATGGATAGTTATAATTAACCTGATATTGGAACCATAATTGTATAGCTAAGTTAATCGCTTTTATGCAAAATATTGTCAAGCTATCTCCACCTATACAGCCTTGCATAATCCTTGGAGTCATTTTATTTCTAGTTTACGACGGGTAAGTCTAGCTGAGTACCTTCTCATACTCAGGGTTTTATTTCTCATGTTGCAGATGTCACTGTGTATCATGGTTATTGCAAGAGTTGCTTCTATCCCACTGTGGATGAGGAGTAAGCCTTGGGCAGGCTTATTATTAATCCTTCTACATGCTTTTGTGGACCGTGATCGTATCTTGGCACTGTATCAAACTATGTTGGAAACTTTACTTTCAAACTTAATTGCTTCCGCTTTATCTATCAAACTTGGTTTGTAATAACTGGTTTCATACTCTGATGATGAAAATGTATATGTGAACTTTATGTAATATGTGGCATGTATGTTGAATCATGCACGATCTCGGTTATTGTAAATCGTTTATCGAGACCCGTCGTGGTACTCGACGGACTACCAGGTTTATATGGGTTCAAGTATGACAGTGCGACCGCTTACGGGACGCCATTGTACTTGTACTCTTATAAATTGGTCGGTTCTGCGACAAGACATGTTCAACTGCGATGGATTTATGGTCACACAAGAATGGATCGAGTTCAGAACGATGATATACGTGATCGCCTAGAGGTAGCACCAATTGAAGAAAAACTTGTCCAACATCGGTTGAGGTGGTTTGGCCATGTCCAAATGAGATCTTCAGAGGCACCAGTGCATTGTGGAGTCCTAAGCCAAGCTAATAATATAAGGAGAGGTAGAGGAAGACCGAAATCGACATGGAAGAGGCAATAAAAAGATATTTGAAAGGTTAGGATATACCTAGAGATCTATGTTCGAATAGTAGTACTTGGAAAGCAGCTATTGAAGTGTCTGAACCGCGACTTGGGGCTCTTGGTGCGTTTCAACTCTAACCTACTCCAACTTGCTTGGGACTGAAAGGCCATGTTGTTGTTGTTGTTGTACTAATTTCCGCGATGATTCAATGAAGGGCCAAATTTGTGTATTGATGTAGTAATTTAGCAGCTCTTTTTTTAGTTTTTTTCCCAGTTAAATTACACCACTATAGATTAGTTAAACATGCATAGTCCTCTATAATACCCTGATGAAACTTTCAATCTTTGTCATTGATAGATGCATAGAACCCTTCATTTGTATGGTAGCTTTTGCTTTTGTGCTATGACGATCCGACTTAGAGCACACAGTCTCATAGCACACCCTATTTGTTTTCGGGTCATCATAGCACATGCTATCATCAATAATATCTTGCATTTCAGCATTCTTGTGCAGGCCATTTTTCTCCCAAGATATATTGTTTGCATGTGGTTTGTATCTGGCCACTAAATCTGGCCTGGAGAATGGAGGTGTCTGGAACTAGCAGGGGAGTGCAAGGGCTTGCTGTATTTACCCAGATTAGCTATCAGTCCTTTCTAAAAAAGGTAGCTACCAGTGAGGCAGGATTCATTAGGTAAATTTTTATCTTGTGTTTTCGCTTAGTAAGTCCTTGCATTTATATGTTGCTAACTGGATTTCATTCTGATTCCCAACAGCTTTTACCATATACTCAATCATTCTTTTAGAGCTTTTGGCCTTTTGCCTTGTTTTTTAGAGAAAACGTGGACCTATAGATTGATCCCATGGCTGACAATGCCTGACAGTACAATGCCAAATATTATTGTGGCATTGGGGCTGTTTGGATTGCGACCTAGTACTTCTCTTCACGAATAACAAGTGGTTAACGAAGGAGATTAGAACTGCATAATCTGGTACTATTCTTCCCGTCCTAGTACTTCTCTATGGTATTTGCCTTGCCTTGTGGAATCAGTTCAAGTGTTGTTCCTTTACGTGGCTGTGCATAGATCTTTGATATTCAATTGTGCATTAGTTCGAATGACAAGTTTGCTTCCTGATTTGCTTCTGAAATACACATCTTACTTTTATGCTATAATGCCTCTTATGTAGTGTCTTTTATTTTTTCGTTTGGAAATCACACATGGTCCTTTTTTTTCTTTGGACCACATGATACCCTTTTCGATCGAAAACTTGCAATTGTAAGTGCTATTTGTTCAGTTAACTGAATAATTATCCTTGTACTGAAGCAGCATGAGGCTTTTATTTTCTGCATAATCTATTTCTTGTGCTGGAGGATCATATAATGCTTTCTCTACTTGCTTGTTTATATGATTGGCAAATAACATTACACAGGTGGACTCAAACTGTACAAGACCCCACGCTTTCTCGACCTATTCATGGATAGGAAAACATTTCCATCACATGTCGAGCAATGTTAGATATCACAAGCTTGGTCTTGTTACATAGTTATGTATGGGTGCCCTATTTGTGATGACCTTTTAAAGCTTGGTCTACTTGTGATTTCCTGTTTGCCTTGGGTGTTTGCTTTCATTACAGATTTGAGGAGGTGAAGCTATGGAATACAATTCAGCAAAAAATTCCTAGAGAATAAAGAAGATCTGCAATCTGGTTGTGTTGATGTCAAGCCCTACAAACATATATGTTTATTTTGCATGAGGATGCAACTCTGCAACTTTATGTAAATGATTTGTTAAATTAAAGGCAAAGACAAGATTCTTTATGTAGCATTCTCTGTCGTCAGGTCCAGATCATGCATAGTAGTTTGTTAAATTGAAGACAGTCAAAATGCGTTACTTGCAGTCATGTATTCATGTATGCACATGCATGTTCTAGGTTATTAATTATTTTTATTTCTCTTGGTATTAGGGTTTTTGAGTTGTTTTTTAAATAAAATTTTCAAGAATTTTCTTTCGATTTTTCCTAGTTTACTATTTTTGTCATATATTTGCACTTCGTTTCGACTTGGTTGCCTATGCGCTATACTGAAGAAGGGAAATCACTTGGTAAACCCACTCCTTCCAAACGAACAAATTAGAAACGTGAATTCTCCCCACATGTAACAGAAATCCAAAGTGGATTGGGTGATCAGCGTGGATCGACCAAAATACACGTGTGGGTGAGGTTTCACGTGGATACAAATCACGTCTGGCGCCTCAATGGGATAACTGTGGCCCCCGTTGGATTTCATTTCCTCGTCCCATTGCAAGGACCTAGCTCTTAATTAAAAAGCCAAGCTCCTGCCATTACCTTCGAAAAGAATAATGGCAAGGCAAAGACATGGAGGTGTGGCTGAAAATCTGGGGGCCTCTCAAGTGCTTGATCCATCTCAGCCTCTCCTGCAAATATTTTTCACATCATATCTGAAACAAACGCAGTAGACAAATCAAGGTGCATGGTATTAAGCTACTAACGTTTGATTATTTCAATATTGACTTGTTTTTGTTCCCAAGCACAGTACTGCCATAAGAGTATAACCTTTTGTTGATGTATTTCTCCTCTACAAGGTGCAATTTCGTCAGTCGAGCAACTCAGTAGTCCGACTGTCACTACTGCTCCCAGACTCCGGCTATTGTTCACCGATCACCGGTTCCCTCTCTGTCTCCATCCTCTGTCCTCTCGATCTAGTTCTGATCTTTTCAACTTTGTTTAGGTTTCGCACTGTACATTCCTCTAGTAGACAAAATAAGTTCCAAAGTAACTGCAGTACTGCACTACTGCATGTGTTGGTACATCAATTTGTACAAGTCCTAAGAAATTACTCCGTAATAAACGAAAATCCGTTACACCCATGATCCATTGCCATGCCGGACTTCAATGCCTCTGTTGGTCCCTTGCTGCCCTACTAGCTTACCAGCACACACTCACTCACTATGGCTAGAGGTAGAACAAGGGGTGAGCACAGCACAAACACTGCAGAAGCTCCAGCGCTAGCCAAGGCTCTGTCTCTAGGTGTGGCAACTGAACTGCCTTTTTCATTGCATAAAGGTAGAGTATATACAACTCATGTACCAACTATAAGGTACATATGAGCATGGCTGAGTATAGCCGCAACTACTCCTAATACTAGCAGTACAATTCCTACCTCAGTCCACTGTCAAGACATGACTGATGTATTAGCTACCAACTAATGTACTAGTGGTGGCCTATTATCTTACTGCTACAACAACTAGGACAACAGAGAATGACCTATTGCCAAATCTACTGTGCAGCAAACAGAGAGAGAGATCAGCTGCAGATTATGTCTTACAGCCTCCAAACATGGATCGCCAAAAGAGAGGCTAAGCTTCTCACTCCTCACCTTTCCCTTTGCCCTACTCCCGTCAGATTTACACTTTTCACAGCGCCTGCTCCCTCCGTTTCACAACATTTGTCATTCTTACATTCCAAAGCATCATTCTCCCCACCCTTCACCAATGTAACTGCATCCAATCATAAGAATAGTTTGTATCTCTTTAATACCCCTTATTTTGTGTGAGATTATCAACAAATATTATGGAACACAGGGAGTACTGATTTCTTGGACAGCTTCATTTAGGAAGCCTAACACTCCAAACATTTCAAAGTAATTTATGAAGATGATGCAACACAGCATTAGCATCATGGAACATGAAGGATCACTCTGTATTTTCTTCTCCAAAGTTGATCCTAAACAAACTATTTCACACTGCACATTTGCTAGTCCTGCATTTGGTATCAATAAGATAACTCATGTTTTCCAATGTAATCCCAGTGTATTATCGATGAATCATTTTACTTTTCAAGAAATGTGTCTAGTGTAATGCATTCCAAATGCTGCACCAATGGATTTTACTCTCATTTTCAAAATTTTAGCATAATAGAACTTAAATAGTTAATGGCACTAAACAACACAAACTCTATTAAATACCATAATAGAACTTAAACAACTTTACAGCATTTCAATAGGGATACATCCAGAGAATTAAATATCACTGAAACGACATCCCTGATTTCCTGAATGGATCTACATTTAATACAAATGTTAGAAATTGCATGTATTTGTATTAGCACCAGTTGGATTTAATCTGAAAATGTTAGCCAATGGATGAGGAAAGAGAATTCAACGAGCCCCAAAAGATACCTGAAGTCAGATACTCCACAAAAATAAAGGTAGATTAATATTAGTACTATCGCCACTACCTAACTGCACATGACGAGCCAATTCAACATTTACTCCTCATTTGCTTATATCCTCTAGCTGTAAATCAGCTGCCTGAGAACTGAGATAGATCCTACGTTCCTACTCAGCTAGGCTATGGCATCTGAGATAAGATAAAGAAAAGCAATGTATGACTTCAGGCAATTAATAATTACAATTTCTCAAATTCTATCCATGATGGAGTCATGGAACATATCTTTGAGAACTTTGGTAGTGGGCTTCTTCAAAGTAGACCATTAACTCAGACTTTGCTTCCTGTCCTAAAACACAAATGATGACCATAACCATCACTGTCACTCCCTTCTATCAAAGCAGCATTGCAGTTGCAGCCTGTGCAGAAGTACAAGGGTGCTAAGCAGATGAAAGATGATACTCTCTTCAACAGTACCTTTTAGCATAAGATGATCCATATCATGAGCTGAGACTTATATTCGATCTCTTATCAAAATCACAACCTTTGTCATCTGTCCCTTGTACTTTCTATAACACCACACAACATTTCAGTTTCTGTAAGAACTTCAGTCCAAGTTGGATCCTTCAGGAATTTTAAGTCCACAGTATCATGCGTAAAATCATATGTAAGTGAAACATGTTGTTTGCTTATTATGTTTTTTTTCCAAGTTCTTTTGTATTATACTCGATGTTCTACTCCCATCTTTCTTAGCTATAAAGGGCAGACCCAACGCCGGAGGCTCCCACATGAGTGGGGTTTGGGGAAGGGAAAAAACGAGGCAAGCCTTCCCCCGCAAAATCTGCGGAGAAGCTGTTTCTTAGCTATAGTAACACATAAAAATATGAATTTTGAGAAAGCAAAACATGATCATTAACATGCAGGATGGTACAGATATATATAGCATTGAAGGAAAAAAAAACATTTCTCTTGAGTAGTACCTTGAAAAGGATGCAATTTCAAATAGGTATATTATAAAATATATATATTCCATAACAGAATCTAATGACATGTATTTTTATCATAAATATAGATATGTTTTATACAAATTTATTCAAACTTAAAATAGATTGACTAGGTATTGTGCTAATGGAGTAGTACCTTACACACAGACCACAAAAGGAGACTAAATAATGCCACAACCCGACACCTAAAAGTAAAACCCTAAGAAGCAGACTGAGTTCAGAACTCATATACCAATACTGAGCCATGTTAAGTACTTGATAATACGTTTCAAAAAAAAAAGGAACTTAATAATACCTAAAACCATGCCTAGCATTGCATTTAAGGGAGCATCTAGTGCAAAACCTACCATAGTTATGACTAATGAAGGAGAGCACACCATCATGTATGGATGAACAAGATTGCCAAATGTCCTCCAAAACTGTCTTTTCAGTTTCATTGGACCAAGCATATGGACAGAAACCAGCCTGAGTTTGGGGATCATGATATATTGCCAATGTTGCCACATGTCAAATACGCGTAGCCATCCCCAACTGCCAAAACAAAAAGGTCATAGGGGTTGCCAACTGAAGAAATCAGCACACTGTCAACTTCCAGTCCGTCTCAAAGGATCCATGCAAGTTCTCTGCCCAGGTGAACTACTCTGTTCAGCACCCATCTCTCAACACCATCATCATCCTCTGTGTGCATCAAAACGCAAACTCTCAGCTCATCCGACTGTGAAATGCAAGTCATTCCATCCTTTGTTTTACCAAAATAAAAGCTGAAAAGGTCCAAAGGATCAGGGCATGAAGCAATGCAGAAGCTCAGTGACTGAGAATGTCATCGTGATGGATGTAGAAGTGAGGAAGAAGTGGCGATGGCGGCAGCCAGGTTCCAGTAATTGGTGCACTGGTGCAGGTAGGGACGAATGGGGGTAAGGCGGGGATGAACAAGCAAATTCCCTTAATGTCAATATACCATACATTACGGACATAGAGGCTTTACTGCCATTTTTAGAGCTACAGTACTAACGCAGAACCATGTCAACATTGAGAAAAGCAAAGTTCCACACTCTAATTAAATGACAAAAATTGCATGGGTGTTGTTGCAATGAAGAGAAAATATATCTCGTGTTCTGTTGCTGACAATGTCTTAACAGACATACCACAAAAGAAACTCCTAATATCGCAATCTAGAACCTAAAAAACAAACACAACAGACACCAAAGCAGCATACTAGTCTCAGAATCATTGAATCTATGCTTAGGCATGCTAATGCCTAATAGATGAACAGGAGCTAAGAAACTACAACGATGAAATAAAAAATTGGATTGAAAACTCATTGGACCTTAAGGCCCCGTTCACGTGCCCTTAAACCTGGCTTGATCTGCTTCTTTTTTCATCCGGAACAGTGTTTTCCTTTCACAGATTCCTCCAGATTCATCCAAATTCCTCCAGATTCCTCCAAATTCCTCCAAGAAACATTGCAACTTGATTTGATTCACCTAGGCATTTTGATTTACTCCAGAACAAGAGATTGGTTTTACAGATTCTGATTGTTTTCCTCGATACATGCCCAAATCCCAGTATTCAACGCAATGAAGCACCTTCAAGTGCAAATGCTAGCAGTTACCAGCTAAAAAAAGCATCCACTCCATAATGTACAGATGACATCAGCACATCACAGCCATACATCATCTGGAACAGCTTCTCCAACTTTCGTGATTTCCTGGCATAGGGACAGGAACCACCAAGGCGTCCTGGGATCATGAAACATCATGGATGTTGTCCAATCTACTCAACAATCCTAGAGCTCCAAAAACAATCATGTCAATAGGGTCATTGTAGACCCAGTACAGATGCCCATTGGCTTGCATGCCACCCGCATCTTGAATCCATTCATTCATCATCATCTGAACTCGCCGGAACGTCTACCCAGGGATAAACTGACCATTCCCAAGTGTCCGAAGAAAAGACCACAGCCCGTACCCTACGCTCGTCATGTACCCTGTCATAGGCAAGAAGCACCACGTGGAATGACGTAGGGTCCTCGGCAGAGATGAGCAAGCGAGGGAGAGCCTGGCCGTACTGGCCACGGTGGTCGTCAAACATATCGTCAGAGCCCACATCAAAGACATCCTCACTCTGCCGCGCCAAAGGGTTGAACACGACGAGTGATGAAAGTTCCCAATTCATGAGGAGGACACATCCATGGCAGCAGTCGGCCATTTCCCAGGAAGGGGCTTCGTCGGGAAGGTCCTCAATGCAGGTTAAGAAGAAATCGCCGCCGCGGACGGCGGCAGTTAGATCCCTGTCGCGGCGGCGGGAGGGGACGAATGTTGGGAAGGCAGGTGCGTTAGAATCCCGCGCGGGACCAGGGGCATCGAAGAAGAGGCCGAGGAGGGGCGCCGGGAGGATGGCACGGAAGCGGCGGCGGAAGTCCGGGGAGGAGGCCACCGCGCAGCGCCACGCGCGGCAGGTGAAAGCAGCACGGACAAGAGTGGCGAGGGAGGGGAGGCGGAGGAAGACCTCTAGCAGGAGGTCGTCGCCGAGCTTGTGTATGGGTGAAGCTCGGCGCGCCTTCCGCCGCCGTTGCTTTCGGCGGCCATGACTGCTACCGGTAACGGCTGCAGGTGGGAGGCCCGCGCGGAGGGAGAGGGTGGTGTTGGTGGTGCTTGGCTCCTTCCCGCCTTTCGGCGGCGGCGCCAGGGTCGGAGAGGGGTCGCCGCCGGTCATTGGATTCTGGCCGCAACATAGGCGAGGCCCGAGGGTAATTCCTGTATAGTGGGCTCACCTTTTTTTTTTTTTGGAAATGGTATAGTATAGTGGGCTCACTTGGATCAACGTCACTTCGGACCATTTCGAAACTGAGGCAAAACGAAGCGTTTCCATTGCACGTGGCCCACGGCAGCCGAGGGATTTGTAGAAACAGCGCTTACTCAGCTGTGAAATATAAAGCATATAAAAGTTTTAGAACTGACAATAGAGTAAACCAAATAACATAGGATTAAGTCTACTTTTTGCCCCTCAACTATTTTCTTGGTCTCATTTTAACCCTCAACGACAAAACCGTCTATTACCGGTATATCAACTGTCAAAACCGTTCACTTTTAGCATCTGACACGGGTGAGGCTGTTTTGACCGACGTTGAGTGGTTTTGACCACGCCACGCTGGCGTTGACCGCCACGTAGGACGCTGGCCTGCATCTCAGCGACATATGGGGCCCGCGCGTCACCCACTCATTTCCTTCCTCTCATTCCTCTAGCTCCAGCAGCCTGCTTTGCGCCCGCGCCGCCTCTACTCTACGAGCCCACCCCTTGCGCTTCTCTCTCTCCCTCACCCACAACCGCACACCACCGCTCTCTCTCCTCTCCTCCCGAGCACCACCTTCTCCTCTGTCTCTCTCTCCCTCACCGGCGGCCGCTCGCGTAGGGCCCTCTCTCTCTCCTCTCGCGCAAGGCCCTCTCCGACGGCCCCCACGCGGCGGATTGAGGCGCGGCGGTGGTGGATCGGGCGTGTCCATGGCGGATCGAGGCACAACGGCGAGCATGGATCTGCCCTGTCCACCTCCGGCGAGGGCGGATCGAGGCGTGGCGCGGCGGATCGAGACGCGCGGCGGTGGATCGTGGCGTGGCCATGGTGGATCGAGGCATAGCGGCGAGCACGGATCTGTCCTGTCCACCTCCGGCGAGGGCGGATTGAGGTGTGGTGCGGTAGATCGAGGCGCGGCGGTGGTGGATCGAGGCGCGGCGGTGGTGGGTCGAGGCACAGTGGCGAGCACGGATCTGCCTTGTCCACCTCCGACGAGAGCGGATCGAGGCGTGGCGTGGCGGATCGAGGCGCGGGCGGCGGATCAGGAGGCACGGCGGTGAGGGCGAATCTGCCCCGTCCACCTCCGGCAAGGGCGAATCAAGGTGCGGCGATGCCTGATCCGGCAGGCTTGCGCGCGGGAAAGCCTCACCCGGCGGCCGCACACGTGCGGGGACTGGATCCGGCGGCGGCGGCATGTAGGCTCCGGTGGACTCATAGGGCCTGCTGCTGCTTCTGCTTTTTGCTGGAGCACGCGCAGGGCCCCCACGTCGCTGGACGAGCAGGCGGCCGCGCCATGGCAGGCTGCTGGAGCTGGAGGAAGGAGAGGGAGGGAATGAGTGGGTGACACGCGGGCCCCACATGTCGCTGAGATGCAGGCCAGCGTCCTACGTGGCGGTCAATGTGAGCGTGGCATGGTCAAAACCACTCAACGTCGGTCAAAACAGCCTCACCCGGGCCCTGGTGCTAAAAGTGAACGGTTTTGACAGTTGGGGTACCGGTACTAGACGGTTTTGTAGTTGATGGTTAAAATTAGACCAAGATAATAGTTGAGGGGCCAAAAGTGGACTTAATCCAATAACATATTAAGATCATTTTCTATATTTTTTCTTAAACCCACTCTCTAAATTCTCATTTGGAAGCCATCATAATAAAAATCGATCTTTATATGATATGAATTATACCACTCCATCCTCCAACAACTTCTATCCCGTTTGAAATATTTGAGAACTAGCTCTACCCTATATTTTTGGCGAGCGAGAAACCAAGAATAAAGGGTGAGAATGTTTGGAGATCTAGTAGAAGATGCTGTTGAAAATAATTATTCTACATAAATATTTATTGATATTATTATGGAATGATATAAAGAGTCTTTTAGAGTCACTCTAACCCTCACTTACCATGTGTTTGGATGGAGGGACGAGGTGGGACGGGACAGGACGGCCCCGAGACGACTGTGGTTTGGTCGGGAGGTTATCGAAGGCGAGGACGTCCCTCCTAGGAATATTCCTCGAGATGCTGGGCTGCCTTCGTCCTTAGAAATCGGTGGGATGAAGTGGGGCGAGCGGGGATGAGCGAGCGACATCTCTTTTCCGTTTCACACGGCGCCCGCTCCTTCCTCCTTATGACACGAGCGGCCCCGACACCCACCGTGAGCTCGACCATGGCTCCCGGCGCGGCGGTCGGGTGCGCGGGAGGCCACAGCCGCTGCCCCAGCCACGAGCTCAGCCCTGGTGTGGCGACGTGGCCTCGGAGCGGTGGCGCTCTAGCTCTACGAAAGTCCTGCACGGGGAGATTGGTGTGGTCCTATTAGCGACTCCGCGTGGAGCGAGGTGTGCGGGCCGGCATGGCGTGTGTGCGGACCTAGGAAGGGGAAGATGATAAGGTTGGCCGAGTGGGGCCCGTCACGTGGGGCCCACAGAACTATAGATGACGGTGTTAAAACTCCATCCATCCTATCTTTGTTCATCCCTTCTACCAAACAGAAAACAAGGACCATCCCATCTCCTCAACCAAACAGATAACTAGAATCGTCCCATCCCTGAAAACTGGGTTGGGTCCATCCCATCCCACCATGTCTCCCAACCAAGCGCTACCTTAATCATGGAGAGGTATTGTGTTTATCTTATTTTGAGTTTCATAGTTTTATTGACAATAGGTATTAATGGCAGCATGCATATGATTTGGATACGGGCTAGGGTAGTTAACAAATAAGTAGGGTAGTTAATTCACATATACTGTATTTTCTTATAATTATTTGCAACAAATTTTGAATATTTTGATGCCTTATATTTTAGGTTTATATGTTAGTTGGACCCACCAAACAATAGCTTGGTTGTATTTTTAGTGCAACAATGTAGAACATGTTAGTATGTGTTTGGTTTGGGGCTTCAAACGGGTTGGACCATTTTTTAGGCTGTTTGGTTGGGAGACCAATGGGTTGGGTTCATCCCCAGAAGGCAATATTCTCTGTAGAAGCGGGTCGGCTCGATACCTCCAAAATGAATTGAAAGGATCAAGATGCCCAAGAGAGGGGATGAATTGGGCTAATTCTAAATTTCTTTGCAATAATTAAACCCTACGGTTAGCCTAATTAACCCCTTGTGCCTAGAAAGTATTTCTATTGATCTATCGCACAAAAGTTTAGCAACCTATGTTCCAATTCTACTCTAGCATGGCAATTCTATGAATGTAAATGACAAGAATTGAATTGCTCAAAGTAAATGCTCAAAGTAAAGAAGAAGGAGGAACGCGGCGATGTTTTACCGAGGTATCGGAGAGTGGCCACACCCCACTAGTCCTCGTTGGAGCACGCGCGCAAGGGTGTAGCTCCTCCTTGATCTGTGCAAGGATCAAGTGCTCTCTATGGGTTGATTCTTCGACACTCCGTCGCGGTGAATCACCCACAACCGCTCACAACTTGAGTTGGGTCATCCACAAGCTCCGCCGGATGATCACCAAACTCCCAATCACCACCAAGCCGTCTAGGTGATGGCGATCACCAAGAGTAACAAGCACGAACTCTCACTTGACCATGACAAACCTAATGAGAAGGGTGGATGCACACTTTGCTACTCTTGATCTCACTAATGAGGGCTCTCTTTGGGATTCTCAAATCTCAATCACCTCACTAGGACTTTGCTCTTCTTGGCACTCTCAAAGGTGTTTCTCAGCTGTTGGAATGAGCAAAAGTACCCCCTCACATGAATGGAGGAAGTATTTATAATCTTGGTTGAAAAACGAACCGTTATGTGCCTCTGTGGGGTGACCAGACACTCCGGTCATGTTGACCGGACGCTCCGGTCAGTTCACTCCGACCTCCAGTATTAAAGTTGTGACCAGACGCTGGACAACGTCTAGTCAGCACTGACCAGATACGTCCGGTCGTGATTTTCCCTCTCTGGAACCTTACTGGAGTCGACCGGACGCTGGCACCCAGCGTCCGATCGCTCACCTCTCAGCGTCCGGTCGCACCAGACGATTTCACCTTGATCAAATAAACTAACCGGACTCTAGGCCAACATCCGGTCACACCAGAACCAGCGTCCAATCAGTATTTGACCCTCCATTCACTTCCAACTCTCAATCATATGTGAATGAAGATTGCTCCAATGGATCTAAGGGCTTTTTAGGAGCTACCTAGTGCTAGATTTAGCAAGTGTGCACCAGACCTAACCCACTAGACTCACCTAGGTCAAGCTACCCGTCCATACCCCCCTTAATAGTAGGGTCAAAGGAAAAACAAAGTCCTAAACTACTCTAAGTGTCTCTTCAACTATAATCGACACTTAGAACTAGTCCATCCTTAACCTTGTCGTCCATCCTTTGAAAACCAAAACGATTTCCATCGTAGGGGCATGACCAACATGATTGCCCAATCGATCTCCATTACCATGACCTAACTTAATTGCCTCTGCAAAACACATGTTAGTCATAGTAATCACGTATTGTCATTAATCACCGAAACCCAACTAGGGGCCTAGATACTTTCAATCTCCCCCTTTTTGGTGATTGATGACAATACCACCTCGAGTATGTGAAAGATATGAGGTTTTTAACATGCTTGGTTCATATAAGCTTTTGTCAATAAGAACAAAAGAGTTAGACAAGCTTATATGACCCAAGACAACATAATGTACTCCAAAAATATGAAATAAGCATGAGTGCAAGTAATAAAGCTCATTTGCATCGGAGTAAAACGTGGAAACAAAGCAAATGAGCATAACACAAGTGATATGACATATAAATAATTCAAAGTAGAGAGCACACATGTCACATATCACATAAATATCACGATCACATTAATATCACGATTATGATCACACTTAAGTAGTTCAATGCATAATAGTAAACATGAATGCATAAAGTATCACACATAAAACTCCAGATGTAATAGATAAGCTAATAAGTAAACTCCCCCTAAAAG